GTTCATTGAACCACAATACTAATAAGTGATTAATAAAAGTCAAAAGACCAAAGAGGTCACCTTAACACCAAAAAAAATATATATATATATAATTACTATTTGTTTAAATACAAAATTAGATATAATTATATATTTGTTAACTTTATCTATTTTTTATAATGTTTTTTATTTGTTTATTAATAAGCAATCTTCTAAATTTTTTTTTGCGTAAGCTTGATATCCTAAAAATTTTGTATTTTTCATAATAAAAACATCTTTTTTGTTTAAAATATTTGTTTTAGCCAAGATATAGCTGTTTACTGATTATTATTACTAGTTATATATAATTATATCAAAACTTACCATTTTTATATAAAATTGAATCTATGCTTGGCAATATCTAAATATAATTAAAAAAATAAATCAATATTTGGATTTACTTAAAAACGAATTATTTGTGTTCTTGGTGAGCTAGTAGAAGATGTTGTCATAAACGTTAACTTCGACATAGTGTGGAACAAAAAAAATAAATTAATATTTGTAGACTTAATGTTACCCTAATGTGTTGCCATGTGATTCATTGACCCCGATTTTTTTGCCACACTCCAAACAAATAAATTAATAAGATGAGAAATCTATCAAATTAAATGAATTTTAATATAAATAAACAATTCTTTTAAACTCTTCTTTCAAACTTCTTTGGTAAGAATAGTTTTTTGTATTATTGATTATTTTTATATGCAGCCTCAAAGTTTACTAAATTTCATTGGTCATCTTTTGATATTTATTATAATACAGTAGTTTATAATCAGCGTTTAAATTTAGCAAACTTCTCTAAAATTTATCTTTAGCAAAATTGTTCTATTTACAAAATAAATATTATGGCTTAAGTAGTCTAAAGATAATTAATGCTGAAAATTGTATATTGTTCAGTTTATTCAATAACATTTTGTTAACCTTAAAAAAAACTATTTCTTTGAAACTTGTGTATTCTAAATCAGTAAATTCAAGTACTATTAATAATAATATTATCAAACTATTACATAATTATATGTTGAATTTATAATAATATCTATATCCTGAATATTCGCGATTACGTTGGAGGAACGACACCTTCATTTGGAGCTGGTTCCACACCTGGTTCTGCCAATCCGTCAGCGAAAGCAAGATCATCTTGTGGGGGTATATGAGGACCATCCTGAATTCCTTCAAACATCCGCACACTATGAGCAAAAAAAAAATTAGGAATAAATTTATATTAAAATTTTTCACAAAATTCTACTAAATAATAAAACTCACATTATTTGGGGTGTTTTCAACAATCGGCGTCCACCGCTGTTTCTCTCATTTGGCCATACATCCTCGAAAAAGTAATAAATATGTCCAACAGCAATTCCCATCATATCTCCCATAGGAAATACATTATTCAATAACAGCGAAAATCCAAGTAATACCCAAGGAAGGAACGGTGCACTGAATACAAATAATCCTACGAAATTTAATCTGATAAAAGGATTTCTTCGTGACCATATGTAAACCAATGTGAAGGCCAAAGGTGATCCCAAAAATGGCATATTTGATAATGGTGATAGAAGCTAAAATTGATTTAGAATGAGTCACATTTCATTTATTTTATAAACTCGCAATGTAACTTACTAGTAAAGAAACCGATGATAAGAACAGTAACCAAAAATAGTCGGCCGTTCGTCCGCGAAATGATCCTTCTTCTAGCATACGGCTATATCGCACTCTTTAGTCATTAATAAATAAGAAAAGCATGAAATTAAGGAATGTTTAATTATTGGAATTATATTAATACCAATATACGTATTTTTGACTTAAGGATACAGAAAGAACATGTGATATAAAAAATCAAGTGAAAATTGACCAAAATATAAAAAGTTCGTCACCAATCGCCAAAGCTACATAATAAAAAAAGCGCGTAAACTTATGGATCCAATAATAAATGATGATAATTTTTCTTCTTTACCTGGAGATCATAAAAAGCTTTATCAAAATTGAAGTAAAGTTGAAAAGGAGTCACAAGACCAACTTGCTGATTCCAAAAACAAATAGGATTCAGAATACCATATATTTCTAAAAATAATAAAAGTTAAGATCGCGATTGCAGGCTCATACCACAGCCAAGCTAGTCAAAACTGCCGCAGTTACAAAGGTTCTTGTGATTACAGGAACATCATAATACCATTCTTCTATAGGTATCGCCATTTTTACTGATATAAAAACCGTTTCGTTAAAACCAGAATGAATAGATTAACAAACGGTAATTATATCGTTATGTTACAGTTACACGCGGTTACAGATCTACGCAACTTTAAACATAGGTGGCAAACCATCATAGGTGCGTTTTATAATAAACGATATCGATATATATTGGTGGTTGTACTCTTTATCGTTATTGGGTAACGGTAATGGGTAATTGTAATTAAATTATGTTTCTAATAAGTAGTGTGGGTACCCGAATTGGAACCGCAGGGGATGTTTAACATTCCGCTGTCAAGCAATTGGGTGTGACTTAATTATTATCCAATTGTTTGACGACGGAATGGTAAAAACCTCGACGGTTCCAATTGGGTACCCACTGATGAGTATCATTTTCCCGGCAAATAAAATCCCGACCAGAACCAAAGTGGTTGTCGGGAAAATGATAGGATCGCTTACATCATATGAATACCTTTTTTTTAGAGGTATATTTCATGTAACACATCAAATACGGTGAAGTGACTGATTATTAGATATTTTTAAAAAATTTATAAATTAGAGATTTGCTATTTATCACAACTGTTTATCATCACCAGTGTATAATATAAAATAAAATTTTATTAATAAAACTACTTTGGGGTTCTAATAAAAAAATTCTTCGTGAAATTCCGAGTATAACCCTTTTTTTTATTCTAATTCAAGTCTTATTTTTAAAATATTAAGGTGAGGTCATGCTTCTATTTTTATTAAAACTCAAGTTTATATTTGAATTTTATATATACTAAATATTAAGATTAGAAGCTCAGACAAGTCATTACAAAGTTTGTCAAAATACTTACTAAACACTTATTAAGTAGTATAGAAATACTTAGTAATTACTTATTGAATATAAGGTATGTTGAAATTGTAATTATAAATATTAATTTTAAATACTTATAAAATCTTTAAAAATTAAGTATTTAAAAAATATAAAATTTAATATTTAATAAGCAATTATTATTTTAAATCCTTTAAAAATACTAAATTTAAATACTTATTAAGTAGTGCTATTTAGAGAATATAAGGTTATAATTAGTACAACTTGTTAATAAAATTATTTATAACCTAAACCTATCAGAATAGTTAAGGTTCATCTAAATTTCAGAATTTGTAATTATAATAAGAAGTTATATTTGATATTTGATCCATTTAAAGTATCAAGTTTTAATTTTTGAATAGGTAATTAAATATTTGTTGATTTAATAAATTTTGAGAAATGTATAATGTTGAAAGAAGTTGAGATTGTCTACTAGATTGAGGTCTAAAAGCACAATAAGATATTCAGATTTGAGAATAAATTTATTAATTAAGATAAAACAGAAATTTGATAAAAAGTATAGTAACAGTTTTAGTAAATAAAATAATATCATTAATTGAATTAATTAGATTATAAAAAACTAAACTAATTAAGATTGATAACAGAAATATTAAATTGGATATATTATAAAATTGTATACAATTAAGGTTTTTGATTAAATTATATAAGTTGAATTTAATTTCTAGTAATACATTAAGAATAGAAATGTTAAAAAAATAATTAAATAAATCATTAATAATATTGTAAAGAAGATTTAAAAATAGACAAATAGTCTAATAAAGTGAAGTACTTGTTTAATTGCATTGATAACAGTTGGATAATTGAGCATAATTGCATTTGTATAGATTGTGTAGAGTTAGAAGGTCATTTATAAGAATTTTTATATGAAATAACTTAAGGAAAGATATTTGAAAACTGTATAAGTAGTTTGTTATTTTTTGGTTATTGTTAATATAAAGCCAAGTAGCTTTCTAATTAATTTGAATTAGAAATTGTGACTATTTATAAAAATAGTTTTGAAATGACCAGAGTGTATAAATATATATATGACATATTATACAAATATTGTAGTAGATAAATAATTTATTAAAATAATTATCAAGTTGGAATGTATAGTTGGGATCTATATAAGATGTTAAAAAAAAGGGGAATTTACATATAGGTGCCTGGAAAGTGATAATATTTACAAATAAGTGCCTGGACTAAAAATAATTACATATAAGTGCCTGATATTTAAAAAATATTACATATAGGTGCCCAAAAACGTACCGTGACTCAAGCCTGTAGCTTGATCGTCATTAATTAAGTACATTGCATAAGAAATGTAAGCATAGCATAAGAAATGTAATCATCGATTGTAAATTAGTACGTAATTTTAAATCATTAAT